AAAAAAAAAAAAAAAAAAAGGAGCAGTGGGAACAGGAGGAAGCTGACTTTGCAGCCCTTGATTGCATAGAAAGACAGAGAGTTGTCTGGGCGCGGTGGTTCCTGCCTTAATCCCAGCAGTTTGGGAGGCTGAGGCTGGTGGATCGCCTGAGACTGGGAGTTCGAGACCAGCCTGACCAACATGGAGAAACCCTGTCTGTGCTAAAAATACAAAATTTGCCAGGTGTGGTGGCGTGTGCCTGTAATCCCAGCTACTCGGGAGGCTGAGGCAGGAGAATCGCTTGAACCCGGCATGCAGAGGTTGTGATGAGCCGGGATCATGCCATTGCACTCCAACCTGGGCAACAAGAGGAAACTCCATTTCAAAAAAAAACGAAAAAGATAGTTGTCCCTTGGGGGCCGCAAGGAAGAAGTGCTGTCCTCAGGAAGGAGAAACACGGAGATGAGGGAGCTCACCAAGAAGTGAAAGGGTGGTTCTGAGCCTAGTGTTGAGGACGGTAGACCCATGAAATGCAGATTCTGCACACACAGCTCTAGTCATAACAGACCCAGGACTGCAGAGTCACACCACATACCTGGAGGGTGGAGGACTCAGACACAGTGAACGATATAGCAGAAGAAAGTTGCCTTGAGATAAAGAGTAGACTTCAGGCTTGCCTACTGAAAGTTATTACTAGATCTCAGAAAAATATCTTTCCCAACAATGAAGTCTGAGATGTAGCCTGGTGAAAACACTGAAACCCAAGGATAAAGAAAGGAATCCTGTAAACATCTGAGTGTGGAAACCCGAGCGTAGTCACCTTCAGGATGTGGGAGAGCAGTGGTGGGTGGGCGCTTGGGCTGGCGTCAGACTGCTTCACACTGAGTCACACTCGGCGTTGGAAGGGAGTGGAGTGATGTCTGAAAAGTTCTGAGAGAATGTGTATGACTCAAATATTTCCTACCCTGTCAAGCTATTATTTTAGTAAAGGAGTCCATAGACAGGGTTGTTCTAGAATGCGGCCATTGCAAACCTGTTGAGAAAAACTGCTTGATAGTTGAACCCTGCTGACCACAAGATACATCCAAAGGAGGATTTAAGAATGGAAAGCTGTTGTAATAGGACTTGTGGTAGGCATAAATCCCACTCAGAACAACTGGATGTTTTGGTTGTAGATCATCATTTATATGTTGCAAGCCTTGAAAACATTTTATCACACAAATCTGGATGTTAGGAAGGGATGGTGCAAAGAAGGGTGTTGGTGTCCTCCTCTCCGCACGTAAGGCACCATCTCAAGCTAATGTAGGTCATTAAGTGAAGATCCTAACTTCTTAAAGGAATAATGTTGACAGTACATTCATAATGAAAAGTTCTAGGTGCTGTTCTTTTGATTTTTTCCCCTTTATTGTACATTGTGAACATTTTTGTTACTTTGTTAGGATTTTGAAGGGGTTGTCAATAAAGTGTGAAATTGCTGGGGAGTTAGTTTTGTGATTTTTTTTTTTTAAATCCTCATTTAGACCTCAGCTAACAGTGGTGAGAACCTTGCTTCTCTCAGTGCTGCGTGCCTGTGACATTCCCCCTCTTGCCCTGCTGATGTGTAGCTTCAGGTGAGAGTGCTGAGTTGCCAAGTTCTACTCTCAAATGTCTCTCTTTACGTTTTGTATTTTAAGGTGTATTTTGATTACATGAGAAGCTGGATCCAAATGCTACAGCAATTACCTCAAGCATCCCATAGTTTAAAAAATCTGTTAGAAGAAGAATGGAATTTCACCAAAGAAATAACTCATTACATACGGGGAGGAGAAGCACAGGCCGGGAAGCTTTTCTGGTAGGAATCCTTGTGCTTCTGAACGCGACGCTCCCACCTTCTCACTCTCACGCCATTTACTCACAGATTGTCTCCTATGTGTTTGTATGTTTAGTTACATGAAAATTGCAACTATCCATATCTCATATGTGCACCCTCTTCCAAGTTTTGAGTGGTGTTTCTCAATCGGGGTGATTTTTTTTCCGCTTGGGGACATTGGGCAGTATCTGGAGACACTTGATGGTCATGACTGGGAAGATGCTCCTGGCAGTGAGTGGGCAGCGGGGAGGGAGGCTGCTGCTGTTCACGGCACACAGGACAGTCCCAAAACAGGGCTATCCACTCAGATATCAGCTTTGAACCTTAGAGCTTCTGCCCTATAATGAACCCTTTCTCCCCCCTAATAAAAGGAAGGAGAATGTAAGTCCTTCAAGAGTAGAATATCCCCACCTATGTCAGTCTTGGTGGGAACATGCAGAGCTTAAGACGCATTTTAAGTGTATTTTTACTGCCACGGTTTGGGGAATGTAGTGCTCATCACAGACTCTCTCTATGAATTGGGTGTGCGTAGGATGAGGGAATAGAAATGTAAACAAGGGGGAATCATGAAGAGAGCAGTGCAGTCGCAGGGCTGGTCTGTCAGTTCTAGGAAATGAACATCTTGCATGCAATCTTGGGATCGCTGGGCACAGGCCGCATCTCCATGGTCTTTGCTGGTGGCCACTGCACCTCAGACATGCTTTGACTCAGATGAGGTCAGTGTCCTTCTGTGCTTTAGATTCTGCTACTGTCTTTTGGCACCACCTCCCACTTGTCTCATCAGCCATTTTATTTTCTGTCTCCCTTTCATAAAGTATTATAAGAACATGCCTATTCTAGTCCTGGACCCCATTGCATTTTGTCTGTTGTATTGGAGCAGCAGCTTCTGCTGCCTACCCTGTCTCCCAGTTCCGTTGGTGTGACTTCTGCAGGACTCCAGCTTTAGCTTTGTTCTCGACTGCCGATCTCTCCTGCGTTCTGTCTCCCAGAATCTTGTATCCACTTCTCTGTTCTAATGGCCAGTTCTTTTTACATCCTCTCTCTTTATTTGGAGTAGACGGTGAACTTGCTGTCCTCTCATAGCTTCATCCGTCAGGCCATGATCCCCAGGCTGTCTTTGCTTGTCTGTTCAGCTTGGTGCCCATAGTCAGCCTTTTTAAAAAGGGCATTCATTGTCATTCGCAACATCTCTCCCCGCTTACTTTTCCATGATTCTGCTTTGCCTAATTCCTTCTGTTTGCATTTTCTGTTTCCAACCTGTCAAGCTTTGTTGACAAAATGTTTTTAAAGGTTACTGTTTAGTTTCACTACAAATTCATGTTGTTTAATGTCACTGTACGCTCACTTCCTCTTGTCCGTCTTTGTGTTTCTATCTTTTGCTTGTCCTTCAAATTCCCTAGAGTGCAGTCTCTGGCCTTTGCCTTCATGATCCTTGCTCTGAGAAGCTCAAGGGCTTTTTCATTCCCCCTTCTTGTGAACAGTCCACTTCTATTGTAGTTCTGGACTCCAGTGCATTTTATCTGTTGTATTGGAGCAGCAGCTTCTGCTTCAAACACTGTTTCTCCGAGGGTCAGCCAGTGTTGGAATCAACCCCAACTCCTTTATTTACTGCACACACTACCTCGACTCTTTTGGCTGTCCTTTGAGGCTATATCCAGAATCTGACCTCTGCCTCTCAAGCAGTCCACACGTCCACTCTTCCCAGGTTGTCATTTCTCAGGTGTGTTACTGCAGTAGCTCTCTAAACAGTCTCCCTACTTCTGCCTGAAGCCTCCTAGAGTTTATTCTCAACACCACAGCCAGAATGGTCTGGTTAAAGTGTATGTTAGACCATTGTCTCCTCTCAATTTCCCAGTGGCTCCCCATCTTACTCAGAAAACGTAAGACTGCCTAACAATGGCCCGCAAGGCCTGACACGGTCCAATTTCTCATTACGTCTTTGTCCTCCTTCCAGACCCTCCTGTGCTCGCTTCCCAGCCACAGTGGCTGCCTCACTGCCTCAAGCCAGGCGTGTTCCAGCCTCACGCCCTTTTCACCAGCTGGCGCCTCTCCGTGGAGTGCTCTTCCTCCCAGTTATTTTCATGACCTGTTACCCCACTTCCTTCAGGTCTTTATCCAGATGTTACCTTCTCAGTATCTTTAAGATGGAAATTCCTACCCACAACTCCTTAGCTTTTTTCTCATTCCTTTTCTCCATAGCACTTACCAATAACCTGAAATACATTTCCCTTTTTTGTTTTATTTATTGTTTTTCTCCACCCACTGGAGGGCTTGTACCAGTTTTGTTTGCTGCTGCTTAGTACATAATAGGCACTCAATATTTGTTGAATGAGTACATTCTAGTTTTTTTATATAATGTTCTTTTTAAAAGCATGTTTCCAATCAGACCCCTTTCCCAATAAGATATTTTAAAATTTACTCTCTCTGCTTATCAAATGCCAAACTAATGAGCATGACATCCAGTGCCCTCCACAGCATGGCCCCAGGACTTTCCCCTGTCCCTTTGTAGCCTAAATACCCACTACTCTTCAGATTGGATGATTTTCTTTTTTCACGAACATGCTTGCTTGACCACATCTTCATGCTTTTTAATCGTATTTATTGTTCTTCCTGGACTTTCCTTCTGCCTTTTCCATTTTCTTCCTCGCAGATTTTCCTCTTCCCAGTATTAGTCCACCTGTTAAAATTCTGCATTTGCCTGCAAGGCCCACTGCAGGGCTTTCTGGACATGAGGGCATGCCTTCAGCTGGGTCTGAAACCGTACCTTCGTGGGGGTTGGTCTTTCTCCTCCTCCGACAAGCCTAGCACTTACCTCCTGCCACATCTGATACTGGTTCTATACTTACCTGCTCTCTGTTACTAAATCATAAGTTCTTTTCCTTGAACATCCTAAGTCAGTAAACTGTTGTTGAATTTTACTTCACTCATTGAGATTCAGTTTATATACCGGGGTGTACATTTTAACGCTAGTATTTAGAGTTGTGTACTCAATGAGAGGGATCAGCCACATAGAGTGTTTCATGCTTAGTCACTATGCAAAGCTAATCGTGGGGGAAATTCGTAAGAACAGTTGCACTTAAGGAATTCACTTTCCCCCTTATCCTTAGTTTGAGGCCATTTTATACCATTTTTAACATTTAAGATAGAAATAACATTTGTGTACTAATCCCGTAGCTACTATGAATCAGTTTAAGATTTTAAGGTTTATAGTGAGATAGTGTGGTAATAGAACAAAGGTAGGTACATGCCATAATCCAGATTTCTACTTTTCCACATCTATGGTTTTATATTAAAAGAAGAGAAATTTTTCATTTTTGATTTTTAAACAGTAGCTGAGCCTTTCAAGTTTCTCAGTCAAGAATTAGGCTATGAGTGGGGACAATTTTTCTTCTCTGTTTTATTTTTATTTTTGTTCCCTTAGTGACATTGCAGGAATGCTGCTGAAGTCTACAGGAAGTTTTTTAGAATTTGGCTTACAGGAGAGCTGTGCCGAATTTTGGACTAGTGCGGATGATAGCAGTGCTTCCGACGAAATCAGGTTGGAGTTGTGCTTCCTTTCCTCTTCCACTTCTTATCTCATTTTCTTCTTCTTCTTGGTGAGATCCTAGAAGGAGCATTGTTCAAACCAAATTGTGCTGGCCTGGAAGAATTTGGGCAGTAGACGTAAAGGGATTTATTTATAACTGTCTTGTCTTTTCATGTGATTTGTTAGTTATGGTTTTATGTGAAATTTTCTTTGAAGGGGAACTTAGAATTTATTTAGCGTGATAGAAATAGTGCTAACTGGCTGGGCTCGGTGGCTCACACCTGTAATCCCAGCACTTCAGGAGGCTGAGGTGGGTGAATCACGAGGTCAGGAGTTCAAGACCAGCCTGGCCAAGATGGTGAAACCTTGTCTCTACTAAAAATACAAAAAAAATTAGCTGGGCGTGGTGACACACGCCCGTAATTCCAGCTATTCGGGAGGCCGAGGCAGAGAATTTCTTGAACCCAGGAGGCAGAGGTTGCAGTGAGCTGAGATCACGCCACTGCACTCCAGCCTGGGTGACAGAGCGAGACTCCATCTCAAAAAAAAAAAAAGCTAACTTAAGATAAAGAGATAAAGTTGACTAGAAAAAAATGAGTAGAATTTTCTTGATCTACATTGTCTGGGATGCCTTTGTATTAGTTTCTGTTCTTAAAAAAATCTATGTAGTGGTCCATTAATACATTTTAATGATATTTGGTACATTTTTATTCTTAGTATATTCCTTCTGTTGAACTTTAAACTTAAGTGTATGAAACGGGTTTCTCTGTTGAAATTCCTCCAATTCTGTGCAGATAGTATTCAGGTCAAACCTTTAGAAATTGCTACTCTTTGTGGCATATATATCAGGCATATAGCAACTTTGTGGCCATATAATCAGCAAGGTCATATGATTCAAATTTAGGGAATGCTCAAATGGAACTGACTTCTCCAAAGCTAAAATGTTTTCGCTCGCTATTCAAAGTTTGATGAAAAACACATTTTGAGTTTCAGAACACCTGGTATGTTTTTATGCCAAGGTTAAAGAAAGAAGTTCCCACATGGGTTCTCACCTGGGAAAATATTGAATAGCTGAGAAATGGAATAAATAAGTTTGTAGATCTTACAGTTTTGAGAGCTAACATGGTGGGTTCAAAATAACTCCAAGCATGTAGATTCCAAATAAACATGAGAAGTCAGGAATGAAGATGGTGAACTAGAGAGTGGCTCTCATGACACTGTTTACTCATAATAGATCTAAAAGGGGTGCAATGGGCAGTGCTGGAGCCGCTTCTGGCTTGAGGGAGCTGATCGTGCACATCTCTTCCCATTTCATTGCTCAGTAACATCATACTGCTGCCTTGAAATTAGCTATAATGGGAGTATTTACACCACAGAAATCAGCGTGCACTGCGTAAGATAGTTATTTAGGGGCAGCCAGTTGTTAAATATTTCCCAGACCACACTGTATATATTTCTTTTTAGATTATGAGCCAGGAGTTAAGAACTTAACCTTAAACTCCAAGAAATGATCATAATGAAATCTTAAGAAAATTAAGCTTCCTCTTATTTGAAGGTTATTCAATGTGCCCTGCTTACGTTGAAAGGATATGAATATTTTCTACAAAACTGTCAGGAGCAGGCTTCTGAATGTTTTGACTACATCCTCGATAACTGTTTGTTCCCATTTAAAAATCTGCAGTCTTTATTTATTACTGTGATTTGGAATTTGCTTCATCTTTATTGTTAAATCCCTCTTGCACCTCTGGAGTATTCCCTACTGTGTTCTAACTGGCCTTGAATCCACTTGGCAGGAGGTCTGTTATAGAGATCAGCCGAGCCCTGAAGGAGCTCTTCCATGAAGCCAGAGAAAGGGCCTCCAAAGCACTTGGGTTTGCTAAAATGTTGAGAAAGGTGAGCCTGCAATCCTGATTGATTAGTACCTTTTATCTTATTTTTCTTTTATCTTATTGTTTTAATGCTAACCCTAAAGAAGTTTCTTTGTAACTGTGATCCTAGGACCTGGAAATAGCAGCAGAATTCAGGCTTTCAGCCCCAGTTAGAGACCTCCTGGATGTTCTGAAATTAAAACAGTATGTCAAGGTAAGTACTCCAAATGGTGTGATTGAAACATTTTGCCTTTCCTCCTTTATTTTAAAACAGGCAAACTTTTTCTTGAAGGTCCAGACAGTAAATATTACAGGCTCTGAAGGCTGTACCACAACCCCAGTTGTAAGACTGTCCTGTAATTCACTAGTGGAATAATGAAAGTCTTTTTCATACTTGACTTACTAACTTGTTTTAAGAGTGTAGATAAATACTAAAAAATTTACTCATGCTGTTTATTAATTTAGTTACACATATTTGAAATAATGTGTATAAGGAGATAATATTTATTTTAAATACTGGTTTTGTTTTTCACCCTTATATTTCCTGATGCAGTTCAAAAGTTTTACAGTGAATCTTTGACATCAAGATCCTGGTCATCACTAGAGCCACTTTTTGAGTCAGCAACTTTACTCCACTTTAAGTTGTTTGACATTTAGCACTGTTAGAATGCGTATGTGATGTCATCACTGAACATTTTATCCCAAGCCCACAGTTTTATCCCACGCCTATACTGAGAGCGGGAGGCATGACCTGCATCGTGCCACCACATGTGTACCCTTTGAGAAATTGATCTCAAGGAGCCTTCTTATGATGACCCCCTGGCTCCCTGCCCTGGAATAATTAGAGAATCTGTATTAACAATTTTTGCCTTTTTCCCAAGCCAGGTGATTTTCTGTAAGCATCACAAACTAGCAGTGGTTGAGGTTTTTTCAGGCTGTCTTGCCTCCCCCTCAAGTATTTTCTTTGTTGTTGAAAAGAAAGCAGTGAGGAGGATGTCCAGTAATCGGGAGACTCTGTAAGGCCTCTCCTCCAGTGCGTTCACAGACTCCTCCTGCCTCCTCCTGCCTCCTCCAGTCACACTGAACCCAGCTTCCTTCCTGCAGTTCCCTCACTGCTCCAATTCGCACCCTTCCCACATCCCCTCCCTAAACCTGCCTCTGCTTTCCTAGGTTCATTTGTTTGTTTTAAATAACATACTTCTCTAATGTACAACGTTCCTTAAGATTTTGGATTATTTCTTTTGCAGGTACAAATTCCTGGGTTAGAAAACTTGCAAGTGTTTGTTCCAGACACTCTTGCTGAGGAGAAGAGTATTATTTTGCAGTTACTCAATGCAGCCGCAGGAAAGGACTGTTCAAAAGATTCAGACGACGTAGTCTTCGATGCCTATCTGCTTCTGACCAAGCACGGTGATCGAGCCCGGGATTCAGAGGACAGCTGGGGCACGTGGGAGGCACAGCCTGTCAAAGTCGTGCCTCAGGTGGAGACTGTTGACACCCTGAGAAGCATGCAGGTACATCTCACCTCCGACTTCTCAGCAGTGTTGCTTAAAGGACTTTTAGTAAGAATGAACTGTTAGCCACTCATGAATGAGGGGGGCAGCTACCCTAGTAATCACAAGTATATAGTTCCCAAAAATATGCCTCAATGTGTTAATAGGTAATTTTGCAGCATAATTTGTACAGTATATCATTCTGTTAAGTTAAATTATTCTGGAATATTTGAAATAAACCGTCTTTCTGGTTTATATCTTTTCTTAGTTCAGTCATGTAGTTAGACCTATGGAGCTATGATCTAAAAGAAATTATGTCACTAATATAATTTGTAGTTCTAGAAATCCCAGTTCTCCAAGTATTCAGGTTTACTGGTTATTTAATTTTCACTTTTTGTGGTGAAGGTTGTCCCCTCCCTACCTAACAGGGACCTCGTGACAGTTTCTATAACTCATTAGTTATAAACTGTGGGAAGCTTTCTCATTTATCTGTGTTCAGCTTAGGAACAGTCATGGTGAGTGTTCATATGCACCTTGAGCTCAGTCTCACAAGAACTGAGTATACACTGGCCTGCTGTGTCCCTTCACCCCAACAACTCCGCTTTTATATTCCGTCTCAGTGAATGGTTCCGCGTTCACTCACAGGAGGCTAATATAAATTCAGCCTCCCACCTTTCCAGTTAATACCTTGCCAGAAGTATTTCCAGTCAATGATCCTTTCCCTGCATCCCCAGAGCAGCTGCTATAGTCAGAACTTTACCATCCCTCTCCTGAACTACTGCAGTTTCTTACTTTGAGTTTCCCTGCTTCAAACCTCACCTTCTGTCTCTCCAATTCTGTATTTGTTTTTGTACTTCCAGAATGATCATTATAATACATCTGATTGCATCACAGATCTACTTAAAATACTGCAAGGATTCTTTATCTCTTGAAGAACAAAAGTAATAAAGTCTTGATTTCTTAATGTTTTATATAAGGCCCTTCAGTTGATGTCTCTTATTCCTACATTTTCCTTCTTCACACTGCTCCAATACACACACTCAAACTCACACTCACACTCTGCACTAGCAGTACTCAACACTTGAAGTTCTAGGATATCTCAAAGATGTCATGCCTGCAGTCCCAAGGGGTTGTTCTCCATGGTGCTGAATATCCCAGCTGTCAATGCCCACTGAAGTGTGTTGCTGTGTAGGGGAAGCTTTGCTTATAAATGACTTTCTGATCAGATGGTTGTTGGCCTGGTATCCCTGAGATTGGCATTGTTTTTGGACTGGTGTTGAACTAGAATAACAACTAGTAACTGGGTTGGTTTTTGTGTCCTGTGCTTGATTTTCCTCCCAGGTGGATAATCTTTTACTAGTTGTCATGCAGTCTGCCCATCTCACAATTCAGAGAAAAGCTTTCCAGCAGTCCATTGAGGGACTTATGACTCTGTGCCAGGAGCAGACATCCAGTCAGCCGGTCATCGCCAAAGCTTTGCAGCAGCTGAAGGTATCACGCTGTTCTCTACATTAGCTGAGATTTTTCCTTTTTGATGAAATACTGTGGAAGAGTCAGTGTGTGGTAATGTGTGTAAGGTAATATCATCCAAGGAACTTGAGCTCTTAAATTGCGCACCCACTCACCTCTCTTCCCAATACATATTTTCTTACGTCTAAACTACAGATTCTGAGATTCCTGAAGCTGTAGAACTTTGTAATTGGAAAGGATAGAGAATTGAACTTTATGTGACTTACTCATGATGACTACATGACTGGCTAGTGGCAAAGGTGAAAATTTAGGAATATAGGTCTCTTCATTCCCAGTGTAAATTTCATTCTCCTTTCACAATCTCCAGTATTTACTAGAGGTATTCCATATCAGTAGTGTGTAATAGAAGATTTATTTATTGTGTTGTTTAATAAATCAGCCAAATTAAACATAATAGAAAAAAGTTGCAGAGAAGCACAAAGGCCTTTCAAAGTTTATAACAAGCCACAGCCTGGCTGTCTTTTTCCATTATTTTCTGTTTTGGACACTTTATATTTTGTATCCCATGTATCAGTCTTGATCTCATCCACACTTTTGCAGGCAATCAGTTACGTCTTCTCACTCACGTTAAGGCTTAACTTCTTGAAGAAGAAACACTCTCTGAAGTTAACAAGTCATTTCATAAACATTTGTTTTTCTTCTGTCAGTCTGATTTGTCTAATTTATCTATAAACATTTATTAACTAAATATTTAGGTTATCTCTCTTTATAGATTGCTGGAAGAATATTTTGTAACCATAGTAAGGGGATTGCCTGATGGAGACCTTGGATGCACTCATGTGTAAGGGTAGAAAGGGAGACCAATTTGGAGCTATTGTGTTGACGACAGAGGTGACGAAAGCTCGAGCTAGGGCAGGGCTTCTCAGCCTCTTCAGTGTGGACATTTGGGCCGGTAATTCTTTGTTGTGGAGGTCCGTCCTGTGCATTCCAGGACGTTTAGCAGCATTCCTGGCCTCTACTTACCATATCCCAGTAGATTCCACTTTTTCCTCCAAATTTTGACAGTCTAAAACTTCTCTGGACAACGTCTCCAGACGCTGAGGGGAGGGCGAAAAATCCACCCCAGAAGAGAACCCCTGGACTAGGAAGTAGCAGGGAAATGAGGACAGCCTGATTTGAGGACACCGTGGAGGTCGTCTAGAAGTACGTGGGCTTTTTCACTCTGTGGAATTGCACCCGTACTTATGGTTGAGCAACCGTCCAAGAGGAGAAAACAACAGGTGGTTGATGTATAAAAATATTGAAGATAAAAGCATCTATTCCAAGAGCAGATTACAACTAGACTATATCATTTTAAATGCATTTTTTCTCTTCTATTTAAGAATGCCAAATAAAATGACATAATTTCTTCTATATTTGGTAATTCCTTTTGATAACTAAAAGTGGCTGAATTGTTTTGTAGTGGTTAATGTCTGTGTGATAATGAATGAAATCTTTCTTTAAAATGTGGTAAGTATTGTATGATTTGCTTCGTTTTGCATTAATCCTGGTTTGGACTCTTTAGAATGATGCATTAGAGCTATGCAACAGAATAAGCAATGCCATTGACCGCGTGGACCACATGTTCACATCAGAATTCGATGCTGAAGTTGATGAATCCGAATCTGTCACCTTGCAACAGTACTACCGAGAAGCAATGATTCAGGGGTACAATTTTGGATTTGAGGTAGGTTCAGAATAAGAGGAAACACACACTACAGTTTAGTAATTGCTTGATAACTTACAGAAAGTTTTAGGAACCTTTTACAGTAAATCTGATACTGTAATCACAGCGTAATCAAGAATATCATCTTATATCACTGCTGTATATCGGAGATGTTACTGTACTTTTAAACTGTTAGGTAGTTATCCGACTTTTGTTTTGTGCCAACAGCCAACTGCTTAACGTTTTAAAACTTTAAAGAGATGTTTTATATCATGAAAGCACATTCTTAATTTAAACTCAGGAGTGAAACATTTATGAAACTGCATATTGAAACACTATACTTTCCATAATTCTTCATAATATTCAAAATATAGAAATTTTAATTGGATTTCACTTTTTGTTTTTAGAAAACATTTTAAACAGACATGACATTATAGTGTGTGACATTATTTAATGATCATTTTCTTAATTTTGATATACCTGAAATCTTCTTACAGTATCATAAAGAAGTTGTTCGTTTGATGTCTGGGGAGTTTAGACAGAAGATAGGAGACAAATATATAAGCTTTGCCCGGAAGTGGATGAATTATGTCCTGACTAAATGTGAGAGTGGTAGAGGTACAAGACCCAGGTAATGACCAAGTAGGATGTTTCTGAAATATGTCATGTGGGGTTGGGAGTATTTGTTCATATATGTCCTATGGGATTTTTTTTGAGCAGATGACACAGAAGGGAGCACCCTAAACTCTTTGGTGATCAGGTTTTTTTTTTTTTTTTAAATGGAAAAATATACAGAGAAAACTGCATAATTCTTGCGGAAAAATTTTTTTAAAAATTTGTTCCAAATTGGAGTTGTCTTTAAGGGAACTCATGTCCTCCTTTGACAAGTCTTCCTGATGACTAATGTTTTTTCCTCCCTCATGAAATTTATTCATTAAGAAACCGTTTTGGAATTTGCAGGGGTGAAATGGGTGAATCATCTGTGAGGCTCAATAGTAGCTCCACTAAAGTAAACATACTTATTAAAGTGTCATGACTGTGTGAAAAATAGCTGAGTGTTCTGTAATTTGTAATGGAGGGGTAGTGTGGGGCACTTTTTAAAAGTCATTAAGCAATTTCTCTAAGTTAGAGAAAACACATTTGCTGTGCCTGAGACTCCAGTAGGAACTTTGTGTTACAAAACTCATAAATAATTGTTGAATTACAAATAAATAATTGTTGAATTACAGATGGCACCTATCATGTCTAAAATCCTCTTCCATGCTTCCTATTGGTTTCAAAACAAAATTAAATTTTAAAAAATTAGGTCACACTGTAAACTTACTGAACCCAGGCAAAAAAAAAAAAAAAAAGTGTTTTGTCATAAATAGTAATTATAATTATGTTACTTTTCAGTATTGTACAGTCTAAAACTGCTACAGCATTTTCTTGGTTGTTTGTGATTGCCGAACTTTTTCATGTACCAGGTGGGCGACTCAAGGATTTGATTTTCTACAAGCAATTGAACCTGCCTTTATTTCAGCTTTACCAGAAGATGACTTCTTGGTATGGAATATTCTAAAGTTTTTTTCATTATAAAATAAGCCAGTCACTCTTCATTTTCTGGTTGAGTATGTTTTATATGTAATAATCGTTCTTTTTTTTTTTTTTTTTTGAGACAGAGTCTCGCTGTGTCACCCAGGCTGGAGTGTAGTGGCCGGATTTCGGCTCACTGCAAGCTCTGCCTTCCGGGTTCACGCCATTCTCCTGCCTCAGCCTCCCGAGTAGCTGGGACTACAGGCGCCCGCCACCTCGCCCGGCTAGTTTTTTGTATTTTTTAGTAGAGACGGGGTTTCACCGTGTTAGCCAGGGTGGTCTCGATCTGCTGACCTCGTGATCCGCCCGTCTCGGCCTCCCAAAGTGCTGGGATTACAGGCTTGAGCCACCGCGCCCGGCCGTGGTTCTTAAATATTTTTCATGTAATGATAATGCTGAGAAATTTAAAGTACTCTTCATAGCAGAGTAAGATATTTTTTTCTTTTTGTAACATTAGTGTTCAACTAAATCAATGTCTAGTTTGTAAACCCTGGCCCTTCTAACATATTTGGTAGTTTTATATTTTTACTGCTATCATAGCTGCTGCTTTGGAGCAGAACAAAAATTAGCTCTTTTACCTCAGTGTGCATCATTTCAGAGCATCTCGCTCATGTTAAATATTATCACTGTTAGTCTGATAAATGTCATCAGATTAGCATGATGATGCTCAAAGTGTGAATTCATTTATTTTATTCTTCCAGTAGTAGAGACGATTACATGAGAAGTCCTTTGCTTGTACACATTTTTGTGTTATGGGAAGTTGACAGCTAATTTGTTTTTACTTACAAAAATGAAATACACTATATTATTTTAAATTACATACAATTTGTGTTTATACCTATTTTCTTTTAAGCTAACTGAAAATAGTTTGGGTAGCATGTTTTTAAAAATACACTGAAAATTAATTTGTGCTACTTCCATAATTAAGAAAGCATGCCTGTTTTCTCTACTTTTCCCAATTTCTTTTGGTTTCTAGAGTTTACAAGCCTTGATGAATGAATGCATTGGCCATGTCATAGGAAAACCACACAGTCCTGTTACAGGTTTGTACCTTGGTAAGACAGCCGTTACAGCATTTCTTCTGGAACACAATGATTTGAGTGGACAAATCCTCTTGTAATTGCGGTCGTTTAAAATGGTATAAGAGGTGTTTTAACAATATTCAGGAAAACGACAATGAGAGGGACAGAAATGAGGTGTGTAGACAGATAACTCCACAGCAATCTTTCTAAATCCGACAGGAAGATTAAAACGTCAGCCATAAGCTATTCCATGCTAGCCAGCAGTATTCAATTATACATTTTTTTCTATGCCAATATACCATTCTTTTTTCCCCCTTACCATCTTTTCTGATGGGGAGGAAAGACTGGAGGAGGGTGTTGTCTGCCAAGCAGGAGAAACCGCCCCGGCTGCAGGTGGCTGCAGATCACTTCCCTGTCCCTCCTGCCTCACCTTTGAGGACAGCAATGTCCATTTCTCCACAGCTGTCCCAAGTACCCACCTTCCCACCAGCTGTAGTAAATTCTGATTTGGTTTTACTTTTTAAAAAATCAAGTTAAGGTATGCTGCTATATATATTACTTTAATTACAATTTTTGATTACAGTTTATGTACAATTTTATAGTCACATTGAATGATTAACGCTTTTACAGTATACGTTGGAATGTTGAAAACAAAATATATGTCAAAAAAAAGCTATGTTTTATGCCATTCTTGAGATAGTTTGTAAATAAAACAAAACTGTATTTATAATAATAAACACCCAAAAATGAAAACTTAGAAATTTTATGCAATTTCAGTTACACAAAATATAATTCATAAATGGTAAATTTATTGAACATCAACTATATTTCATATAGTGTACTTGCTAGCTACAGAAAATTAGTAGAATGGGTTTTAATTGTTGGTTTTTTAATCTTCAGTTTATACCTCTTTTTCTCCCAAGGTTGTTGTGAAAATGAAAGTTATCGTTTGTAAGACTATTTGAGCATTTTATATAAAGCATGCTATTGTCTTATCAGGCTTTTTGCCTAAGCATATTATGAGTAATTTTGATTTTCTGATCTCTTAAGACGTTCATGTTTCTCTAAGAACACGATTGATAATTCAGTAAGAATTACTTAAAAAATACTTTATTACATAAGGAATCATTTTCATTGTGGAAAAATTACAACATAGAAAAAGTGTCTAGAAAAATATGGAAGATGTACATTTAGAAAATTTATCAATGTAGAAAAAAGATTACAAAAGATAAAAGAAAAATGACTCATACTTCCTTAATCCAAAGGTAGTCCTGGGTAACATCTGAGTCGCTCGTCTTTCAATATGCCTGCCACTCCACCCTGCAGTGGGACAGTTCGTTAATAGTGCTCTCTGGAGACTCACATGGTCCTCTGTCCTCTCAGCCACTGTGGGTTAGTGGAACGAACTGTGGGGGCCTGGACAGCAATTGACCTGGGGCTGCTCATTTAACATCATTGAGCCTCCCTTTTTAATGAGTGAACTGGATGCTAATGAGGATTAAATAAGTAATAACATTGTATAAATTCTAGTTTTCCATACACAACAGGGGTCATCATTTGGTTTTGTGTTGTTTTCTTACAAAAGAAATGAATGAAAATGAGAGCACATCAACTGTCATTTTGTTACTGTTGCTTACTTTCTTCCTTTCCCTCTGTTGTAAGCGCATAACAAATAACAACCTGGTATGTAAGCTTCCATATTTTCTGTAGATTCATATAATCACACAAATACATTCTACCTGTACCTTTCTCTGCGACCATTTCATCACACAGTCATTTATAGGGTGGTTCGTTTACAATTGTAGAAATGTCTCTGTGTCAACAGGTATCGATCTCACTGGTTCTTTTTATTGGCCACACTGTGGCCGTTCATGAATGTACTGTAATTCTTTCTACCATTTTTTTTATGGGCTTTTTTTGTTTTGGCCATGAAAAACATCTCTATAATCAGTGTTTACCAATAGTGAAATGTGAACATCCATTTTGTTTATTAGCCATTTGAATTTTCTTTCCAATGAAGTGGAAAGTTTTGCAGTGTTACATCTACCTACTATTAAAATAATTGTTTTGTTTCATGCAAAACATATATGTGCACATGGTTTTTTAAACAGAATGTCTATTTGTAGGAAAATTTTTACTAATTTTTGACTAGTTCCCAGTATCTTTGCT